GAGAGAGGACGAAGGAGGAGGAACGACAAAAGAGGAGGGACGACGAGGAAGGAAAAAGGAAATAACAGGGGCAAGCACCGCCCTTCCTGGCGCAATGGAGGGCGCAGCCGCCGCCACCTGTGAACAGCGCAAGCACGGCGGGCCGACGGCCGTTGCGCATTGCTGCTCGGAGAAATGCCAGGGGCGGGTAAAGTCGCCGCTGCGTCGCGCATGCGTCGCGCGTGCGTCGCGCGTGCGTCGCGCGTGCGTCGCGCGTGCGTCGCGCGTGCGTCGCGCGTGCGTCGCGCGTGCGTCGCGCGCGTGGCGCGTGCGTCGCGCGTGCGTCGCGCGGGTCGATCGTGCGTCGCGCGCTGGCAGGGGTGCGTCGCGCGCGGGTCGGGGTGCGTCGCGCGCGCGTCGCGCGCGCGTCGCGCGTGCGTCGCGCGGGCGTCGCTCGGGTCGTTCGCGCGTCGCGCGCAGGTCGCGCGCGAATCACTCGAAGGGCGCCGTGGACTCCTGACGGCATGTGAACTGCACGGCCCGCTGGCGAAACAATCAAGGGATGCGCGCGGCAATCGTAGAAATAGCGAGACACGCACGTGAGAACTACGAACGCGAGGATACCAAGAGACGACATGGAGATGCAGCGCGCGCGGACTAATCCATTTCAAGCGCACGCCCCGGATGTTGAACATCGGTCCGTCGCTGCAGCAATTTGGCGACGTCTCGCCCGCCGATGCATTGGGGGGGAAAAAGAGGATGGAAGTGAGGCGAGGGAAGGGCGGGCGGAAATGGGAACGGACGGGCGAGGAGGGGGCGCGCGGGGGCGGCGCAGCGGCGGCGGGAGCGATGGAAGGCGATCGAAAGGGGGGCGGCGGGAGCGAGGAGGGCGAGAAGAAGTTCCAGGAGGGTGGAAAGACAACGGGGGGCGAGTAGGGAGGCGGACAGGACGGCAGCCTGACACAGAAGAACTGAATACACATTTCGCAAACGGGACAAAACGCGCAGCGCGTTGGACGAGGGGAAGAGGAAGGAAGAGGGGGGGGGGGGCAGGAGGATTGGAGCGAAACGACATGGGGGTGCGGGGCGCGATGCGACGGGGCGAAGTGGCGCCGCGTCGCGCGACGTGACGTCACCCCCACCGCGGCGCGACACGCACAGCCCCCAATCAACGCGAGGCGTCTTCGTCCTCAGCAATGGTTGGCGCCCCCGACAATGAGCACCAGCAAATCCTCTTGCGCCGAATTGGGGACAGAACGCGTTGGTGGACCGTCGAACTAGGAGTGCGCCGCGACCGCCACAATGGCTGCTGGTGCACGGGCGTCGGATACCTATATATCGCCAGAGCAATTCCGAAGTCGCGCCATATGTCGCCCACGCACTCTGGGAGGCCGGGATTCGGGACAGAGACGCAAACCAGGGCCGGCGCACGGGCGACGCTCGGGCGACGCACTGAACGAAAACTTGAAGGGGGGGGGGTGGTCGCTTCACTGGGCCTTAACAGGCCACACATCAGAGCAGAGACCTCACGGAGGGCGCGGGCGCCTCTGGACAGCCCCTTGAGGCCCAGGGTCCCATGTCCCCTTCAAAAATCGAGCCGTCCAGGAAAACATCTCCCGTGAGCCGATCAGGGGACCCATGGACCCAGAGCAGAGGAGGGAGGTCGGGAAGTAAGGGACGCTCCAAAATCGGCATCGGCACTAAACATCTCTCAGCGAGCAGCTGCGAGAGGCTTCCATTGGTGGCGATTCCGCCTAGAGACTGACACAAGACATGTGGGTGCTCGAGCTGCAGTGCGTGCTGCGCGCAGCTGCAGTGCCTGTGCGTGAGCGTGCCTAGCTTGAGAGAGCCAGCGGCGAGGCAGGCAATGCAGTGAGGGTCCACGGGGTAGCCAGCTTCCCACTGCGTCGCCATTGGCCACTGGGCCCCAATCACGACCGATCGTACATATGAACGGTGCTGCGGCAGAGCCTTGGAGCGTAAAAAGGCTAGGGCGGGAGCTAGGAGCACACCAGAACGAAATTCGGGTGCTTCGACATGCTCGGCGATCTTCGCACACTGCCAAAGGTATACCGCTCGCATCACATGTTGCTTGACTACATACGGGCAGGCCTCAGAAATGTTCAGAACTCGTCCTTCAGGAAAACTCCAAGAATCCAAAGACCGAGCTCGGACTCCAACCCGATGAAGAGAAGCCCAAAGAGTAGTGAAAGGTCCGGCTATGGAGCTCCATGGGTACTGCAGGAAGCTGAGGTGGGCGTCAACTTGCCTGAGGCCCGCGTCTAACACCATACGGGGCATCCATGACTCATGCAGACAGAGCAGGAAGAACTTAACAGGCAACCACGTGGCCCTGATGATGGGATCGAGGTCCTTAGTGGGCGCCAGCATGAGAGCGAGAGTGAGGCTCTTGCCCGCTTGCTTGTGATCTTGAAGCTTGCCTGCTAAGCTGCGCAGTGTGTTGAGCTCCTTGCCATTGACTCCAGTGACGGCCGCGCCGAAAGAGGTAGCGCCCTCAAGCGCAGCTCGGCTCATCTGACCTAGAAGCTTTCTTCCGGGTCGTCCTGACCTTGAAGCCGACATGCGAGCTCGACGTTTCTTGATGACCTTGAAACGAGCGGCGGTGGTGCATCTAGGACGCACTTTGCCAGAAGCGAAATCGACCCCCAGGTTGCGCTCGGCAACAGCAGCCTGAATCCCAAGATGCCGAAGATTGCGAGCGAGCCGAAGTCGATGTTTCTGCGAATTGCTAAGCACCCTGCCTTTATCTAAAGCGAGATGCATGTCTACTTTGTGCAGACCGGAGACAAGGGACGCGGCTGACTGCTGGAGCTCGTCTCCCACGCGGTTCTCGCCGCCGAAGAGCTGTAGGGAGAAGTCACCCACGTTGACGGCTAATGCAACTGACCGATGCGCCGCCTGGACTCTATCAAGGGGGCCTAGCAGTAACAATCACAGCATCAGCGCAGCGAACGTACATCCTGGAACCACCGTTTGCTGCACCTCAATGAAGTCACTGCATACCCCTTGAAGGTCCAGCACGCGCGGTGCACGGTAAACATCTATCAAAAGTCGAAGCTGTCAGAGCGGGAAGTGTGTGTCGATGGCTGCCTGCAGCAGATGATGCTGCTGAACATACTCGAAGGCTTTTTTGAGGTCTAGTAGTAGAGTTCCGGAACAGTGGCCCCGAATGATACAGTACTCAGACCAAGCACTAGATAACCATGCACACTTCTCCGCAGATCGCCCCTTGGTGGGCCACCAGAAGTGACGGAAGTTACGCTTCTGCCACGCGCTGATACGAGGTCGACGCAAACGACACTGCAGACGGCAGAGCACATGCAGCAATCCCAGAGGTCGTACGCCTCCGAGGCGTTTCATAATGAAAACGAGTCTGCTGCACATACGCGACCAGACCAGGTGCTGCTCTATGCGCGCAATGATGCCACAGAGCAGCTCGATCGCCATATCGGGGAGCAGGAGGAAGTTCCCGGGGCTGACCTGATCGAAACCTGAACCAGTTTTGACGGGGAAGGTGCGCATGACAGCTTTTAGCTGGTCAGGCGTGGGGGGCCCGGGTCGGTCCCCCAGGTGCTCAGGCCAAACCAGGGGCTGCTGTTGAATGTGCACTTTCCACCATCCTTCCCACTCCTTTTGCAACATATCAACTTCCTCCTGCAAGTTGGCTGGCCTGAGCGCGCAATGGTCCATGCAGTTCGGCTGCCAGCCGATCGGGAGGGAGGAGAAGGAGAAGAGCGCGGGGGCACCGTTGACGGAGCGGGCGTTCATCAATTATCTCCATTGTTGCTCTTTACGCCTAGCAGACTGTTGACGTTGATTCTGCGCTGCTTGATCGGCCCAGGAACGCAGCTCAACCACCAAATCTCCAGGAACCTGAATAATATTGTCCCGGATGTAAGCCCATGAGATGTAGAGGTCCTCTTGGGGCAACAAATGGGACTTGGAGAGCCTGTGGAGCCTGTTGATGCTAGACGTCCAGGCCTGCTGCCTCTCCGAGATTTTGTCCCGAGTGCGAGCCAGATCAGCAAGAGCGAGCGAAACCTTCTTCCGCCAAGCCGCGAGCACCGAAAGTCCGGGAAAACGAACGGGCCCAGGTCGACGAACGGATTGGAAGCGAGGCTTGATCGGCATCACTCTTCCACAGTACTTGTCAGCCTCCTCGGGGGGGAAGCTGGGGCACTCGAGCCCATTCAAGCTCGGCGGCAGTGATAAAGGCGCCCCACTTGCCATCTATCGTGTCATTCTTTGAAATAACTGCAGCGGTGTCTTCCCATAGCTCAGAGTGGGTGAGGTAGGTGTGTCGTCGAAGACCCTGATGCTATGCTTGCCCAGGAGGTTAGAGGAGACTACGAAGGAATCAATGGTGCGCGCAGCGGGCGTACATGTTCCCGCCGTAGGCGCAACAATAACTGAGTCGAGCGCACGCGTCCAGCCAGATGCCTCAAGCTGCGACGGCTCGATCTGCCAATCTCCTGCAATCACGAAGGGAAGATGAGCCGCTTTGAGTGCAGAGCCAAGCTTGGTGAGAATTCTCCAGTTGAAATCCGTGAGATTGCCACCATCCTTCAAGTAGATATTTCCCAAGAGAAACCCCCTTTGACCATTCCTCCAACATGTAGAAGCGAACAGCGCCCAGGGAATATCTCAAAGATAGAGGCCTCTAGGAGAGCTAGACCGATACGTTTGGGAACCATCGAGACAAGCCCTCCAGAGGTGCCCCCGTTATGCGTAGGAACAGCGGGTAGAAACTCAGCAGACCACCCATCACGACGTAATGAGGCCTCGGTGTAATCTAGATCCAAAACTTTGTGGGTCTCTTGCACGCGCAACGCGTCAAAACCAGAGAAGCCACTCAACACTTTGTCGAGACTGGAGTACTCGGTGACGTTGGAGACTCCAGTTGGAGGTCCCCAGGAGCCAATCTCGAATCTTCTGGCGCGGTGCGGGGCTAGGAACTCGCCCCAGCGGCTCGTGGCGAGCGCGAGCCAGAGACTTCACGCCTACGCTCGGGCACCACAGCCGGCGTGCAAGCCCGCCTGGCAGAACGCCCTGCGCTGGCGAGCACTTCACTGAGCACAGCCTGCACCTGCTCAGGCTGGGCGCCGTTGCGCGAGGCGATGGTGTCGACCATGGTAGCGTTGCACAGGGAGGCAATGATGTTGTGCTCGACGGACGCCGCCTTGCGCGCCTCATCTGCCCAGCTATCGTCGAAGTCCATGTCATCATCGGCCCGTGGCGTGTCGGCCTCGCTCTCTTGATCAGAAACCAGTTGAACAGGAGCTGCTCTGGCCGCGTCACCTGGAAGCACGAGGGACGCCACGGCGGTCGGCGGCGCAGCAGCAGCACGCTGAGCAGCTTGCTGGTGTTCAAACTGCGCCTTGGCGGTGAGCAATTGACTGAACTGCATTGCCAGGCTGGGGTCGAGCTGCTGGAAGCGCTGGAACAGAACTCGTTCAGGTGCTTCAGCCTCACCCTGTGGTCCATCGCCTGCGATCTGAGTCCAGGCCTGCCTCGAACGGTCAGCTGCTTGGCGTTCTTGAAGCTGCAGAGCATGCTGCTCAAGACGCAACTCCACCACGCGCTGCAGCTGCTTCTGGAGGATGATGGCAGCCTTGGACAATTTGTTGTCGATGGCGGCCAACTTGGTCTTGAGCTGCCCGTGCTCCTGCTGTGCGGCCTTGGACAGCGCATGCGGGTCTCCGCTTCGCTAGGCTCGCACAGCTGCGACTTGGGCCCGCTGGCTGTGGGTGAGCAGCAGCGCGGCGTTGGCGTAGTGCTCCTCGGGCATGGCGGCGAAGGCCTCCACCTGCTGACCGTCCGAGGCCTTGGTGGCGCCAGTGTTGCTCTTGCTAGCGCCAGGCTTGCCACTACGGCGCCAAGCGCCAGCAGCAGCAGTTGGATCCACGAACTGCACCTTGGGGAGGGCCTTCCAGCAGTACATGCACCACTTGTAGTGATCCAAGTTCTTCTTGCAGCCGCAGGCGGTGCACACAACAGGCATGGCTGCGCCGTGTGTGCCGTGGCGATGGCGCGTGCTGCCGCCACACCAGCACGCAGAAAGAGGAGTGCCGCGGGCGAAAAGCCCCAAGCTGCCTGAGCCAGGCAGGCTACGGAAGGGTCCAAAGCTAATCGCTGGTTCTCGGGCGTCTGTAGCCCTTCACAACGTTTAGCCTTGAGCCAAAATGGCTACGGATCCTCCTCGCCATTCTCCTCCTCCTCCTCCTCCTTCTTCTCCTCCTCCTCCTCCTCCTCCTCCTCCTTCTGCTCACCGTCCCGACCCCTCCCCATCCTACTGATCCTCCTCTTCCTCCTTCTCTTTCTCCTCCTCCTTATCCTCCTCCTCCTCCTCCTCCTCCTCCTCCTCCTTCGCCTCCTCCTCTCCCTTCTCCTCCCCCTCCTCCTCCTCCTCCTCACCGTCCCGTTCCCTCCCCATCCTACCAATCCTCCTCCTCCTCCTCCTTCCTCCTCCTCCTCCTCCTCCTCCTCTCCTTCCTCCTCCTCCTCATCCTCCCCCTCCTCCTCCCCTCCTCGTCCTCGTCCTCCTTTGTCCTCCCTCCTTCTCACCGTCCAGTCCCCTCCCCATCATACTGATCCTCCTCCTCCTCCTCCTCCTCCTCCTTCCTCCTCCTTCTCCGCCTCCTTCCTCCTTCTCCTCCTCCTCCTCATCTTCCTCCTCCATCCCTTCTCCATATAGATAACGTCTCCCTGCCGCACCCCGAGGCCAATTGTTAGTGCGGCCGGGCGTTTCGCCTGAGACTTCCTCACCATTGAGGACTCTGGAGCTTAAAAGTTGGCAACAGTTTCACACATGGAGGAGGGCGGGCGGTTGGGCCTTGGCGCGGTGGGCATTCGTCTTGAAAAATTGCAAGGGGTTCACGGATTGAGGGCGAGTCATTTTCGAAATGTGGCTCTCGCCTTAGCGCGGCGCACATTCGTCTTAACAAAGTGCAAGACCTTCACGGATTGAGGGCGGTTCCTTTTCAAAATGTGGCACTCGCCTTAGCGCCGCGCACACTCAATTGTAAACACTCGCAAGAATTCCATGCATTCCCATCATCAACGTACCAGAAATGGCGTTTTGGAAGGATTCTGGATTACGCGGGCAACAGTTACGTCGATTCTCGGTGTGGAAGTCCCAGGAATGGCATTCTGGCACGATTCAGGATCGCCAACACGCAACAGTCAGGTTGATCCGTGGCGTTAGAAACCCGAGAACAATATTTTGGCATGCTTCAGAAGCTTCAAACAGGTGTCTTCCAACGAGGCAGTTCCATCAATGGAAATGAACCGCTGTAGGGGCCTATGAAGAGGGAGCTTGGAGGAAGGGTGTACTCCAACATCGTTGATGACTCTTGGGGTTACACTAGTCCTCCTCCTCCTCCTCCTCCTCCTCCTCCTGAGCATGCCCCTTCTGCCGCTCGGTGCAGGCGGCGCGCTGGTGAGGATCAGGTTGACATTCTTCCGGGCCTGCGCAAGGCAAGAGCATGGAAAAGGCGAGAGGCGCAAGAGGGGGAGACAGCGGCGGAAATGAAAGACATCCTTCTCCTCCGCCTCCTCCGCCTCCTCCTGGGCATCATCCTAGTCCGCACCGCGTCGATGCTGCTTGTCATCATCATCCTCACCCTAGGGCTTCGCAGCTCTTCCGTTTGGGGGGAAGGTTCATCGTCCTCCGCCTCCCCCAAGGAGAAAGATGGAGACGGACGGGGAGGATACAACAGCCGAGAGACGCTGCTTGGGGGGGGCGCAGCGAGAACATGCGGCACAGAGGATATCGCAGCGCTCGAAACAGAATACTTTGGCGGAGTCTCAACAAGACCTTCGAACCCTGGTTGAGGCAGGGGGCTCTTGGGGCCGCCTCGGGCCGTGGAGCCTCTGATGGCCCCCCGTCGTGGGGCTCTCTTGGGTGATGCTGGAGCCATCTAGAGGCCCCAGAAGCCCATCAGGAGCGACAATGGCGAGAAGGCCACAAGACTTTGAGATCCGACGTCTCGAGAAACAAAATGAACGTCGCGACATGTCACGACCGAAGCCCCAGACCCCAAAATTCTGCGCCATCACTCTGCGAGCCGGATCGATGTGTGAGGGTCCCTGGGCCAGAACCTGGGCGACAACGCCCGGCTGGAACAAACGAAGCGCCAGGATCTCAGGTCGGCTACACGCAAGAGTGACCCTGGGTAAGAGTGACCTTTGGTGCGCGGCTTTTTGGAGGCCGCGTGGGGATCAAACCTGGGCGCGCAAGCCGTTGATTCTGCTTCGCTCTCGTCCATCTGGGGACCCATCCGTGCCCGCACCAAAGGTCACCCCGGCGAAAGGTCACTCTTACGTCTAGTCGATCAGGGGCATGCGCCCGAAGAATGCTGGCCTCCCCGGGGCACCAAGTGGGAGGAGGAGGAGGAGGAGGAGGAGGAGAAGGAGGAGGAGGAGGAGGGGAGGAGGAAGAGGAGGGTGAGGAGGGGGAGGAGGAGAGGAGAGGAGGAGGAGGAAGGAGGAGGGAGGGGGATGAGGAGCCTCCCTGGGGCAGCCACATGGGAGGCTCAAGTGCCCCTGGCTCGGTCGCGGAGGCTGGTAGAGGGCGCCGCCACCATCGGCTGGCTGTTCGCGCCGCGCCGCGGCGCGTGGAAGGAGCA